ACAGTCACCAGATCTCAACCCAATAGAGCATCTTTGGGATGTGGTGGAACGGAAGCTTCTGGATGTGGATGTGCATCCCACAAATGTCCATCAACTGCAAGATGCTATCCTATCAATATGGGCCAACATTTCTAAAGAATGCTTTCAGCACTTTGTTGAATCAATGCCACGTAGAATTAAGGCAGTTCTGAAGGCGAAAGGGGGTCAAACACCATATTAGTATGGTGTTCCTAATAATCCTTTAGGTGAGTGTAGATAAACCACAGCAGTACTAGCAGTACCTGTTATTTTGTCAAAAACCGCAATCACAGGCATGGTCATGTCACATCAAAGTTGTTAGATTTCATGTCACATCAAAGTTGTTAGATGGTGCATTTAAACACATTCTGAGAAGGGGTCCATAGACACCACCAGACAGCTAAAGGAGTCCAAAGCCCCCCCCCCACCCAAAAAAAAAATGAGAACCCCTGATGTAAGAAATGCTGAACATTTTTCTGGGGGGTTGAAATGACCATCCTGTTCCTGCCAGATAACACGGGAGTCATGTGATTAAAACAATCATCTGGTTTCTACTCAGGAAATAAGGTCCAACATAATGAAGCCCCAGGTTATATCCACCACTTTTCTTTCCTCAGAAAATGAATTTTCCAAGCGTTTACATCTTTATTGGTTACCTGTATACATGAAATTGTATACAAATGACTCTTAGATGAGAAACCATATCTGAAGACAGCTTTTTCATGAGACTCCTGTATTCCACTACAAGGCAAGAGATATTGTTATAATACATTTGGATTCAACAGTATGACAAAATATTTAATGAGGCAAAAAATATCTGATTAATTCTTTACAATTTACAGTTTTTAACAAATTGCATTTTACGAACCCATTCTGCGTTGCGTTTCCCTCCAGAAAATTTTCCTAAAGATTAAGTTATTTTTTACTATTTATTATTATTTTTTTTTTATCCCAGTGTTGTTAGCAAAAATAAAATTCATTTAGCAAGCTAAGATGGTGCTTTAACTGGCAGTGCTGGGTCAAACAAAAATATTTTACTCTTTTCACTTTATGAATATACTCATTTATAGAAATGAAGAAATGATGAAATATATGTATTTTTTTCCAATTTCCTGGCGAGCTCACCAGAATAATTCCGCCTTAGAATTCCCTTGGATTTTTCTGTCAAATTTCTGTCCATATAACGAGAGGCGATGGTGTGTTTCAAATCTTCACTACAATACAGCTTATGTTAGAAGTGCAATATTAAGTATGAAACAGATTAATGTTGACAGTAATACATTCACAGCAGCCGCCACGCTATGGATCTCCTTTACAAAATATTTAATTTCAGCTTGTTTTTCCCTTTTCTTTTTTTATTTAAAAAGTGTTACAAAAACTAGTCTTCTATTCATCTCTCAGTGCTCTGCAATAAAGGATCTATGTTACAGGTGATTTAATGCTGCAGCCCGACACAGTTCTTCTGACTTCTTGAGTCCAGGTCATCACGTCTGGTCCCTGTGTGGTAGCACCTCAGTGTTGTGACACGGCTTTGGCTGGAAGGGAAGCAGTTTGAGAGGGGCAGAGAAAGGGGGTCAAAGGTCAGACCGGCCCTGTCAACAGCACACAGACATCATGGAAGACTCATGGATATGTTGGGGGGGGGGGAGGAATCGCTCTGATCTAATATGAACGAAGATGGAAACACAATGTGAACTGAGAATAACAAAATGTATGACCAAGGAATTTTCTCCTGTTAAAAGTTGCTAGAGATACCCGAAGAGTATGAAATGTATGAGGTACCATGAAACTTGCCAGTCCGACATTACGATCAGATCTGTCAGATTCTGATGTGTTTCAGCGTTTTGTTCCTCGATTGCCCATCTGGTCATTCATGCACATTACTCTGCTCATCATAACTGTGGCATCACACTGCTTGTTCCCGACTGTGGAAAAGCTACAGAATAGTATCCATTTTTTTTTAAGAGTACATCCAAGAAATACGGACCTACAAAAGGTACATGAAGGTTACACATACTTATAAAACGTTTTGTTGTATTTCCCATTTTTAAATTTCGACATAATCAGCATTTCATTTTATAAGTCTTTCACTTTATAAGGACCCAGACACAGAAATATGATATGGGTGGGGAAAAATGAGATGAGAAAGACATCAGCACGACAACAAAACACGGCACTGAGCAGAGACGCCGACAAAAAAAGTGGAGGGGTACCTTAATAGACCGCTGACAGGTACACGCCCCCGCCACTCCGCCTCTCTGCACGGCGAATCACAGCAAAAAGAGGTGCCAGTTAAACACTACAGCCCGTAATCAGCACGCTTTCTCCCCTCCACATTTATCAAAGGAAGGACAACGCGGGAAACAGCAGGCTGCCCCCTTAGGGTCACGACCAGAGGTGAGTAATTCAGGTCCAGAGAGTTAAAAATCCAGACCAAGATTTTGTTTCAACCAATCAGTTGAGTACTATATGACTGACTTTTCATACTCAACAGGTTGGGTGAAACAAAATCTGGGTCTGGATTTATACTCTCTGGACCTGAACTACCCACCTCTGGTCAAGAAAGGGATCGTGGCTGATAAAGAGAACCCATGTGAAGCTGGGACATGGTCTGACCAGCTTCATCAGAACATCTGATTCTATAAAGCAGGTGGGATCAGATGATTTTTTTGCCATTCTGACAGTGCGGTATATGCTTGGTACAGCTTCCTTTGACCCATGGGACACCAACACCAACATGCGGTCATTCCAGCCCGGCACACAGATGCGGGGGGGATGGTGAGGGGGGCTTTCGCTGAGATGAATGGCGGTGGGAGCTGGCAATGGGCTAGCGATACCAGAACATGATGGGACGGGACCCACACACGTACCGCTGTATAGCCACATGAGTTTGGACGACATGGACCGTGTTGCTGCGCAGATGATGACATCATCTGGCACGGGGGACCTTTGAACCCCCTCGCGGCCAGCCCCCGGCCCAGGGAGGACAGGAGTGCGGTTCAGCAAGCAGCTGGAGGTGGCATGGGTGAAGTTTAACATGTAACCAGGCAGCACTGCGCGGTTCTGTTAACCAATTGGACGGCACGGCACGACTCAGCCAATCGTGGCTGCCTTCAGCACTCCATGGAAGGAGCCGTTCTCGCTTACAGATGGCAGCCTAATTGGCGTTCTGGAGCACAGCTGTGCCGCCAAGGCGTGGAAGCAAGGGAGACCTGCTCTTTGTTAATTAGACACAATGCACCATGTTTATCGTGTTTGTTGTCTTCCACACCCTCTCGGTTTGTTTTTGTTTGCCCCCCCCCCCCCCAAGCTGGCTCAGTTACAGAATCAATTTGCACACAATTCACACTGCCTCGTTAACTGAGAAGTAATGGTGGGATGGTGAGCGCCGGTGCCAAGTTCGCCTACACCCACCTGTAAGGATGCCGACTGTGAGCATGCCAGCGGTGAGGTGCAAAGCCCCCCCCCCCCACCCCCACCCAACATGATGTTGGGACAATTAGCGAAGCTCCAAGCACATTTGCTGTGTTAAACACGGCTTACTTTGTTTGTTCTCTATCAGACAAACGTGTAGTGAAATCCATTGCTTAGGGGGGGTCGCGCCGTTTGCGTGGCAGAACCAGGAAGGGGGGCTGAGGAACTGCACAGCTGCTGTGGCACTGGATGGGGGGAGGGGGGGCACATACAGAAACAGGGCTCCGTTAGTGGGACGGCTGCACCTGTCCCGCCCCGCAGCCTATATTCTCCCCGCCGCCTCTGCCACTAAATGCCAGGCACCGTGTATTTAATCTGTTACTGCCTTTCCCTGGTAGCTACTGAACGCTGCGCTGTGGTCACCGGTTCCCTAGACGCCCCCCTGACACTCGGCAATCTCACATTACATCCACCTGCAATGCTTGGAAACATCCTCCAGGGGGCTAAGTTGAACTCAAAATACCACCTTCAGGTATCATCAGGTAAATCGGACTTTAAACGCGGAGGGGAAGAGGTGAACTGAACGCCGCCGCTGCCGTTCGCTGGGCCGCTCTCGGCCAGGGAGAGAGGGGCCTCTCCACCTATCTTGCACGAGCGAAGATGAAAAAGGTTCAGGAGCTCTTTCATGCCGGTTCACAAGTGTGTTCAAAGAGCCGGCGTGGGACCGCGAGCCCGGCCCGCGCAGAATTTAACTGGGTCATCGATCGCTTCTGAAAACGGCCTCTTCGTGAGATTCCTCCCATCTGAAAGATCAGACGCGCCGTGCGGTTAGACGCGTCTTTACGCACGAGGGCCGCGCTAATCGGGAGCGACGTGCGGCCGGTAAGAGAGGGATCCTGATGAGCCTTCCTGCCGCACCGGGCCTTTGTTCTCCAGCCAGCGTTCTTGAAAGGACATGAAGCTGTATTTATCACACCTGCGGTTCATAGCTGTCAGCGTGAAGAGAGGCAAGACTTACAAGTGTCAAAAGAGTATTTAAAGCTGGGACCGAGCGAGAATCAGTATGCAGCAGCTCCGGTAGTCGCTACCATTAAGGATCAGTGTGAAAATCTGAATTTCAAAGGCCATAACTTGATGTTTTTCACAACTCACGACTATGATTTTTATTGATCAATCAATTTAATTTACATAGTATTACAGTGAGGTGCTTAAACCTTACTTTATACTTTGTGATTCTATTTTTTTTAATTATATAAAGGTGCTTATTTGATCTGGGACAGAGTTCTTTGAATGATCCAGGACTGTTTCACGTGGCTCAACTTCCATGTGGTGTGAATTGATCTGGAAAATAAAACCTGAACTCTTGACAAAATGCTCAATTTGGTCCATTATTAAATTATAATGAACAAACAGTAAACACAGGTGGAATAATAAAAGAATCACAATTAGTCATATTCCATTTTAGCATAGATTTTAAGCGAATGCTAGTAAAATTACTGATCACAGGCATTGAGGGTAGCAACACAAGTAACTGAACCGTCTCAGAATAACGTCCACAGCTGAAAGTGTTTCTCCGTCTCTTTTAAGAGGACATGCTGTATAATCCCCATTTAACTTTCACAGTGTAACTACAGAAAACCACACAAAGCATAACCACACAGAGATGCCGCCGACAGAAGCAGGTCATGAAAGCCTTAAACATTTTTGCTCTGAATCCCAGTGTCCTGCCTCATCAACACCAAAGTCAAATGAAAGGGATTTTTTGCCCAAAAACCAACTAGATGTATGTGTATAAGGGGACAGAAAAAGGAACCAAAGAACCTGTCATTACAGTAACATCAATGACAAAGAAAGACATCAACATGTGTACCACAGTTAAAGGGTGACAGCTCTGGCTTTTAATGGAAGCTCATGTTGGTTCCGAATCAGGAAAGTCTTGTGTAAATTATGGCGCTCCTGTCTGACCTCTGAGTGAGTGCTGGGGGGGCTGCTATTTTGTACTTTTAGCGTCTTCGTAAGAGGAATATAGACGGTGGGGCCAGTGGCGACACGGTGGGGCGATGGAGGCACCTCACCTGCCACCTCCTTGCTCCTCTGCGAGGCCTCCGACGCCAGCGTGTAAGAGATGGTGATTATGCGCTCCTGCTCCTGCAAGGCTTGGTCCATGTCCACGAAGTCCGGCCTCAACGGCGCAATCGGCGGCTGGAGTTTCTGAAGACTGCGAAGGGAGAGACAGGCAGACAGGCTCAGTCTGACGGATTTGCAGATGAATAAAGCCAAGGATGGTATGACGGAATATGTGTAGTGCTGTGAAAAGGTCTTAGGCAGCCAGAGGAAATGATTAAAGCTATTTATCTGGGTACTAAGTGTATATTTGCTCAGAAAAATTAAGTTTAACATTAGAACATATGCAAATTTACAGTAATACAATAAAAACTAAATTTCACCACCAGCTCATTTATTTAATTAAATTTGTGGAAAAAAGTCAACAAGTTAAGGTGTCCTAGTGGCCAAGTCAAAAATTACAGGGGTATATTGCATGGTTTCTGCAAATAGTGGGATAACTTTAACATACTTTGACAGACATATCATCAAAGTTTTTGCACCAACTTAAAGATCATTTAAACATCATATATATATATGTTGTGTGTGTGTGTGTGTGTATGTGTGTGTGATCATACATCCTGTAGACTTGTTCAACAATAAGTTTCTGAAATACTGAAGTGTGAAGGACAGGGGAACTGGCTACCTGGATTTAGCCAGGATGCTCTTGATGCGCTCAACTTTGCGGTTACGAGCCTCCTTCTCCTGTGGGCTCAGTGGCTCCTCAGGGTCTGAGTCCACGTAGCGCTCTGGGATGGACACCTTCTGTGGCTTGGAGAGCTGCAGGGATGGGGCTCTGGGTCAGCAGCTCACCACTAAATTTATCACCTTACATGCTACATTTCATCTGGAAGTTCTTCTTCCAAACCATTTGTTCTTATTTATTCACATTGCAGGTTCTCGATCCACGATAAAGTCAACCACAAGTAAACATAAAAATAATGTTTTTAAAATGGTACATGCAAGATGCTCTTGAGCAGGGAAGCCCGCCATGTTCACACCAGAGTGGCGGTCCATACCTCGCGGGTGAGGTCAAGACTGTAGTCCAGAGGCTCCTGGTCCGGCTCCCGCGAGGGCTTGTCCTTCATGACCAGCCACTCGTCCGAATGCGAGCGCTGGCGCTCCTGGTTCTCGGGGTGCTGCTCCTCACCTTGCACCGCCCGGTCCAGCAACTGCAAGTCGAACTCCTGCTCCCGTCTCCACTGGGACAGGGCAGGCAGATACAGCACAGTTACTTCACCTACACCTGACCTTCTCCAGCCTCTCCTCAGACGTGTTCAGTCCCTCACAACAGAACTCGGCAATTAATATCTTAATTCAAGAAGTGTCAATGCTACATTGGCAGTGGCTTCATGTTTGACTTCAGTCTGACGGTTAATGGACAATAAGTCTATGATTCATGTCCCAGTTTCTTTGGTCGATCCCACTCGGCTGTGGCTGGACTGGAGAAGCTGCAAAGCAGACCCACAGAGGGGCGTTACATATACACACCCAATCCACCTGGAAGAGTCCCAGCACCCAACATGCAGAGCAGAAACAGTGTGAAAAGCGGCTGTGTGACCAGTCACCACGGTCAGGCGGAGAAAGCAGCACCCACCACCCAATTCAAGACGCAGGGGCGCGGCCAGCGGTACACAGACACCCCCCCCCGGTCTGTGGGTGCTGAAGGCGGTCCACTCCGACACCCCCGCTGCTGCTCTGACACTTCAGCTGTGTGTCAGTTGCACATCTCAGGAAGACTGCATGCACATGCATAGAGGTGTATGACCGGCAGGATTGAATCATGCATGTTGGGAGCATGAGCCAATATAAAAATATACCAACTATATTCTTTAACACTAAGGAATACTGTGCAGTATATTACTTGTACATACAGACAGCGGATATCCAGTGTTCAGAAGCTACAAAGTCACAGTCACTTGGTTGTAAGAAATAAAATCTTTGTCTGGATTTGTAGCTTCTAGACCGGAAATGCCAAACACTGCAAATATCTACGGAGCCAAAATCAGTCTCATTGTTTTCCCGAAGAAGAGGATGCATTATGGGATGATTATTGAAAACCTCACAAATCCATCCAAATGACAAATCAGGCTGTGAATTAGCCTCACCAGACTACACCGAAACGTACATGAAACATACATGAAACGTACATGCCGACGGATAGCTCAGCATACATACCACACACATGCATTCCGAAATGTTCAGACATAGAAAAAAAAATGGCTAAACGGGACGGACACTGGTGCGGTGGAGAATCAGGCTCTCAGGCATTCAAGCTCTTGAGCGTCACTCCAAAGGGAGCTTCAGAAGGGCCGGAAAATACACGAAACATTCCAGGCACTACGGCGCTAGCTGGACGTAACGAAAGTGTACACTACAGAAATATCACTAATACATATTCGTACGAAGGGCGGCAATGAAAAGAACACGGCCAGCGTTTATTCATTAGCAAAGTGCTTTATTTATTCCTTAGGTGCAAACATCTACATAAAAAAATTAAAACAAGTTTGTGCCTTCCATATTCCATTGGCAGGTTAAACGTGCGGTTAGTGATCAGGCTGGGGGGGGTCACGCCAGACAGTCCTAGTCGTTAGTGAGACGTCCACCGAACAACACACAGGAGGTGAGGTCAGGTGCGTTAAGATGTTCGGACAGCTGTAAGCCATCGACTGCTCTGCCTCCCCGTGGTACCAGGCCGCACAGGCAAACAAAAAGGGCCGAGATGCTTAGGCTCACTGACGCCCCCCACTGGTACCAAAACGACATCTCCCCAAAGCACGACCAGAACAAGTCATTCCTTAAGAACTCTAAAAGGTGCAAACACAGCTTGTGCAGAAACACTTGGAGTAAATGCAAACAGAGCATTAATACTGTAAACATAAACCTTTTGAATAATGACCTCTTTGGGCATTATGAAGCGCACACTTGTTAGTCATAATGCATAATCGATGCGATTTTCAGCTAGCTAGAAGCATATAAGCAGCTTTTTTAATTGGAATCTGTGACAGTAAATCATGCGGTTGTAAGTCAATGGGACTATAATTCAACACCTCTGACTGTGAAGTCGCTAATGACACAACAAGGCCTAGCTATCAGAACTTCATGGTTATCATGTGATGTCCAGAACAGCACCACATTAGCCAGTAAAATGATGGACTGTGTGTGGAGACAGAGTTTGGGCGATTTCTTGGTGTTTTGTTGGGGGGGGGGGGGTGTCAAAATTGGTTGGACAGAGATGGAGGAAAAGTTGTGCGTGTAGGAGAGGAAGAACATAAGAGGAGATGATGGTGGAAGCTGGCCAGAGTTAGTGGTGGAAGTCCACCTTGAAGAGCACCCCCTCGAGCTTCAACCGCCTTCACCCACCGGAAGCAGATCGGGCCAGCAGGCCAAAGAACATCCAGGTGCCACCATGGAGCCTATATATACAGTTCTGGAAAAAATGAAGAGTCCACTCCATATTTTTTAAAAATTGTTAAATCCTGGTTTAATTGTGGTTCTGCTGGCAGAAGGCTACACTGAATGGGAAGCTGCTTCAAGGCTCAAAGTTTCTAATGTGAAGCAGGAGACACTGGGTGCGACCAAAAAACTAGCGAGGTAAAGGACGGAAGCGACTTTGTACAGCCAGAGTCACTATCAACTTATCTGGGAGCGCCTCATGAATTAGAGGATGACATCAAATGACCTTCAAAAGGAATGGGAAACATTTAAGTGCAGGTGTGAAGTGCACTGCTAGGACAGTTCATATCAGGCTCCTAGAAGGAGGACTGAAATCCCATAAAGGAAGAAGCCCTTCATCAATGAGAAGCAGGGAAGAACCAGGTTGGAGTTTGCAAAAAATATATATATTACACAGAAGCATATCCATAAATTGAGAAATAACTGAAACTAAAAATTGTCTCAATTTTTTCCAGACCTGTATATGAACACTGATTTCATGGAGTTCGAGCACCAGGCTTCCTGAATGGAATTTGATGCAGCTGGCTTACATTGGATCGATGGGTGAGAAATGTGGGCCAAGGCTGCCTCTGATATCGCGTTATTGCATTAGGCTGGAGGACAACAACGCTTTGGCGTGAACAAAACAAAAATACGACAGACTTAGGGTCTGAAAAGAACACTTTGTGCTATATATCAAAAGGTATATAAAAGATAGCTTTACAAATGTCATCTGAATACTGTTGAGTAGCTGTATGAGCTTTAGGTTCCTTCAGCAGACACACAAATCCAAGCCCCCCCCCCCCCGAAATACATTCAAAGGTTAAAGGCCCCACAGGACGCGTCCCCCCCCCACCCCCCTCCAGTGACACCGAGCTACTGTGACACTTCGGCAATTAGCGTGTGGAATTAACAATTCTGCGGGGAAGCTCGAGAGCCGCTCTGGGGGGGGTGCGGGGGTGGGCAGGCAGGCGTCGGGGGCGGGGTTAGTCATCGTGCGCCAGCACTTAACGTACTGAGCCCAGGTCGGCAGAGAGGGGCCGGGGGCACGAGGAGGAGGAGGAGGAGGAGGCCCGGGTTCCGCCCCCCTGGCGTTCCCCCTGGCTCAGTGTGCGCTTGCGGTCTCGCACCAGCGCTTTCTGGTGCCTCTTCATGCGCTCCACCTGCTCGTCGGCACTCATGCGGGCCCCACGCCGAGGCTCCTCCGAGTATAGCCGCTCCAGGGCACTCTTTGGTCTCTCCTGGGGGGACGGGAGAGGGGGTGGGCAGGAATGAGGGGGGAGTGTGTGACAGGGGAACGATGGGGGTGAGAAAGTGTGTGATAAGAGGAGGAAACAGGAGGAGAGAGGTGAGAAGGGGGGGGGGAAGGGTGTGAGAATTAGGAGGAAGAAAGACAGGGAGAAAGAGAATGTTAAAATGAAGAAAAGAAGAAAAAGAAAAAAAAGAGGAGGAGAAGGAGAACAGAAAAAGAGAGAAAGAAAAAGAAAGCAAAAAGCAAAAAGGAAAAAGAGAAGTGCCACAGGTTAATTTGAGTTCTGCCGTTTCTCATGGGAATGTGATGTAAGGGGGGGCAAACACAGCACACAGACCACCCTGCACCCTCACATCCCAGGGCCCCGTCTCTGTGCGCGTGTGAGTGTTTACCCCATCTGCACCAAACACGGCACCTCATCACAGCCACTCTCGTGGCATGCAAAAGCGGGGCTGCTGCCGGCAACATGGTCACCAGGCAGCCGAGCGAGCAGGCGGCGGACGCTCACCTTCAGGCCAGATGCGGGCGATCCCCTTCTAAGCACCACGAACGAGGCGGGATCCAGCCTTGAATTGGAGCTGGCCGGGCCTGTAAAGGACACCCAGATAACATGAAGGAACTGTCTCAGCCTTTGTAGCATCTGCTGGGAGCACTGAGCGCTATAAAGCCTTGGAGAGCTGTAGCTTTGTGACGTGTGTCATGCTCGCTAGTCTGAGTCTGAATCTGAGTGCTTCTGCTAGGGGGGGGCGGCAGCTTACCTTTGCTCGGTAACGTCTGGTAGCCGGCATCCGGCTCCAGCACCTCGTAGCTCAAGTCCGGTTCTCCCAACCCCAGCAGGTCCGGCTCACTTAAGTACGGCCGGATATCCCCCTGGGAGAGCAAACACATAAGGGCTCAGGACCTATGCTGGCCCTCAGGGCAGCGCGACTCGCCCTGAGGGCGCCGCGACCCGCCATGGCCGACCGGCCGGCATACGCACCTTGTAGTCTCCGTTGATGTACGGGCCAACCTCCCTGTCTCGCCGCCTCTCGTCGGATTGGCGCTTCAAGCCCCGGACGGACGTGTGTCGGATGACCGACGCCTCCTTGGGGAGGGGGGGCACGACGGGGGGCTGCTCATCAGGGCTGTACAGGTAGGGCAGGGGGGGTCTGGGAGGGACGTCCTCATCGACCTAGAACCAAGGGCACACGGTCACTCCCAGTAAGTATGCAGTGGCCCAGGCTCCCCAGCCCTCGCTGTCGCTCACTCACCCACGTCGGCGCAGGCTGTTGGTACACTGGGGGGCTCCACGTCGGCTGCTGCGACAGCCGGCTATCAGGGGCGGGGCCTCGCTGGGGCGGCTTGACAGCTGACGTGGAGACACTCACGGACAGCGAAGGCACAAAGGACGACGACACTGAAGGCACGAGTTTTCTCTCTGCAGAGGAGCAGACACAAATGTAAAGGCGTGCCTTGCAGTTCTGTGGCAGCTCAGGAGGTGGCGCTCTCTCACCAACACTTTAAATGAGGAGGCCCCGCTCACCTGGATTCTGTATAGACTCTATGGTGACCTTGTAGTTGGCCTTGCTGGAACTTAGCCCCGCCATGACATCCTCGATCCTCCACAACTCCTTCCTCATTTGACCCTTCTCTTGCTACATTGATGAAGGAACAAAGGATGCACAGCTACTGGTTAAAGATGACAGTGCGGAGAGGGGACTGACAGCTCCACTACTGACTCAGGCTTCACCTGTGACAGGATGTCCCGGTTCATCTGGTCCTGCAAGGCCTCCCTTAAATGCTCCAGGTCTGTTTCCAGCCGGCTGTAATGATTCCAAGCATTCTCCATCTCCTGGACAAGGGTTTTTTAGACCTTGCTCAATGAATGTGCTGGACTGTTGAATCATTCAAGTAATCACCATTTAATTTAGAAATTTTATTTGCTATTTGTTGTTGGGTACACATGTGGCACAAGTGTCCAATCGTGGATTACCGATAAAGCTAATTGAATTTGAACTGAAATGGAAAGTGGTGTTCATATGTAGCATAACGACAATTGAGATATCAAGGGTCTCGGAGTACTACTGAAGGCCGGTTTAGGCTAGGCTGGGCTCACCGTGGACAGCTGGGAGATCTCGGCCCTGATGTGCACCACATCTTCTTGTAGCAGCCTCTGCTGGTAAGCAATCTTCTCGGTATGGGCTGGCTGGTCGCGGTACTGCTCCATCTGCTGGTGGGACATGTCCAGTACCGACTCCAGCTTGTCCTGTTATTGACCAGTGGACGGTCAATACGAGCACCTTCCATGGGCACAAAAACTCTCCTCTGTGTGAGGCTCACCATTACCCTCCTACCTTATCGTCGAAGCCACGTTAAGCCAAGAGAAAACCCAGCAGCATCATCAAAGAGGGCGAAATCTTTTTTAAGCCCTGACCAATCAGTACCTTATCCTCCTTTAACGTCCGGATGCGTGTCTCCAGGTCCTGAAGGATCTTGTCCTGCTCACACAGCCTACTCAGCTTCACCTGCAGAGGTGAAGATTCGTTTTCACCAAACGTGGCCCTTCTAAGATACACCATGTTCGCTTACTGAAGGATCCTGTTGAACGTCATTCACTCCACCATAATGCCTCAAAATTACTTACATAAATGAAGTGCCTATATTAAGAAACAACTTTTCTTAAAATTTTACATCTATGTTCCATGGCAGGATTGTGCATCCATGGAAACATAAAGCATGTCTATGTCTAAAAACTGGGTTAGATGTTTAAAAACAAAACCAAGTCGCAGACAGAAAACATACGCGCTGACTGCCTATTTACAGACTTTCACAAATAGTGATTTTTTCTCCACTCCCAAAGTTATTTTCCATTCTGTTAAATTAATAATTAAGCTGTTTTTTCTACTTCACTGCAGTAATATTGTTGTTTTAATGATATCAAATATTCATCATTCTGACAAATGGAGCATTCTTATAAATTGTTAAACTGCAACAATGTTGCTCAGTAAAAGTCAAGACTTCCAGCTTCTACACCTCTGATCACGTTACGAGAAAGGAAGAAATAAAGGATTATGAATATCAAACTGAAAAATTTAATAGCGCAAAATATGAAAACCCCTTGCAAGTGTTTTTCCCTTTAGATTGAAAAGCCCTTGACGATAGCCTCCCCAATCTGCATGTCAGAGTCTCCTGCTCCCCACGGCCCCCGTTCGACTGCTTGTTTGTTTCAGGACTTTTGTTTACATGCTGAGTGAAACGTCTCAGATGTGTGTTCTGGTGACGGCCATTTGTGAAAAGAGAAATAGCGAAAGAGAATGCACAGTGATGGACGGCTTATTTCGGAGCACAGGACGGCCTGCTCCGAGAGTAGCCTTCTGTACTTACATCCACATCGCTCTCGGCTATTTTTACAGGTTTCGTTGTTTTGTCTTTTAACATCTCGCATCCAGGCACCTGGGACAACACAACAACAAAAGCAAACGATCACACACAAATGCTCGCAAACGAAAATCTGCAGCTTTGCCAGCAGTGTTAGGGCAGCGAAACTAACACCAAAGTCCCCCTTTAAAGAAAGTGAAATGAAATATTAACAGATATGTGCAGTGCTATCCGTCTTAAACTTTTCAGCGTACATTTTGTACATGTATTTTATATATAAACAAATTTAATATACATTTCACATACACACAGTTTCTTTAAGACTGGGCCAACTTGGCAAAATGAGAATTACATTTAAGTTTTAAATTTAAAATTAAAGAGCATTTTTAATTAAGTGGATTAGAGCATGACACTTCTCAAAACTGAATAAGATCACAAAGCTCCTAGTACAGTTGCTATGGTTTTTTGACAACTATACCCATACTTACCAGTCATCTGGACATAACACAAAGTCACATGTCACAGTGAATCGCCTTCAAATATTCCCAGTAATAACATTCTTTGTGGCTTAAAAGGATGTATTTTAGAGCATTCAGTATGTGATATATGGTTCCAGATGTTTTCACTGGGATATATTTGAGGAGACCGACACCATGATTGCAGTCATGGAGTGTAGAATCTCGCAACATGCGACACAGACACAGACACAGAGCTCTATGCAATACACTGGCGATTCAGATGCACAGCACACATGCTAAGCTGCAGCAAGGACGCACCGCACAGGCTGAGTGACTGCAGAGAGACTGTAACACACCCAACTTGGTTAAAAATAAACTGCATGCGCAAATAGGAATGGGACCCTGGAGTGGGATTTGGTAACACACTGTTGATCATGATGATCAATGGTTCAATACTTTCCTTATTCTTCAAGTGGAAATAGAAATACACTTATATATTTGTCTCCATACCGCAAAATCTGTAATATAAATTGACCATATTTTCATGACCATTTGTCTCACCGTCTGCCTCATATTCCTGGCTGGTGATGCACTCAGCTTTGAAAAACGGAAGTTTAAGGAAACAGCTTTTCATTTAAAGGTAGGAAGCATCTCAACCTGCGTCTAGTTTCTCGCCCCCAGTTCTCCATAAACCCTTTGCATTATTAGGAGGTTAATATGGTACAGATGTCCGCAAATACATAATAGTCAAAAACTTCACAACAGAAATCATTGACCAATTTGGAATAAATCTTATTTTATGTAGAATCCTGCTACTGAGAATGTGAGAAACAATGTATGAAAATAATTTGGATTTCGGTGAATTCCCCTTAACCAATTAAGCACCTCAAAACACCAAGCAACTTTGACACTCTGAGATCTTCACACAGCATATAAAAAAGCTCACTGCTGCAAAACCGAAGGAAAATGGAAGGTTTCGCGAATCTAAGGAGAAAGCTGGTGTTAGACTGCCGAATCAGGGAGCTGCCCCAGGCAGAAAGACCACGAGAGGGTTTTCATGCACAGTCCAACATTTCTTCAAAAGTCTTCTGCCAATCCTCTACATACAGGAATCTCTCAGTAATGAAATCACCTGGAGTTCATGCACTCTCAGGAAAAAGGGCACTAATTTGTACCTGTGCTTGTCACTGGGCCTGTACCTTTAAGGGTCTGCCAGCTGTACCCTTAGCTGTAGGAAATTGTACCTGTACAAAGATGGACTAGGAGGAATGTTTTTTGTACCATTGGGGGTACATTAATGTTGTTTGTACCTTGGGGAGTCCATTTCCGTACCTTAAAAGGTACAGAAATGTGCCTTTTAAGCTCCAGTGACAAGCAAAGGTACAAAAACTGGTACCATTGTTTTTGAGAGTGTGGTTTTCTGCAGTGATTAAGGATGCAATTCTTGGTTCCATCAGCAGATCAGGAAATGACCCATATCTCATGCCACTACATCTGTACCTCCCTATCAAGAAATGCTCCACCTTACACAGTCAGCTGCACAACACAACAGTGTTTCCAACTGGAAGTAAAATGCGTTCCCACCATACATAATGGTCTTTAATTTCACACACTGTAGACAGATTTTACCCACAGGTTAAGAACTGGTTAGTCACAGAAATGGAAAAAGCTCTACTGCTTGCTAAAAAATTCATGTACACTAAACTACACTAAGAATGAGAAAGGGAGGTAGCTCTAAGTGGACAGTTAAAGGAGTTAGTGGGGGAAGCTTGCTGGCCAGTGGCCTGGACGAGGGTCAGGAGGAAGAGGAGGGAAGTGTCTTGGCTTTGGCAGCTCCCACCTTCAGGTCTAGATAGTCCAGGTCCTTCTTCAACTGCATGTAAGTATCATCAGCCTTCAAGTGAGGAGTGAAGAGACAAGTCACATGACATGAAACGTCACAGAGAGATTTCACAGCGCCACCTGGAGCAACGGGGGTATCAGACCTTAGACTCACACTGCAAGGACCAGGAATACACAAAAGAAAAGCGGATCCTTGGATCACGGTCATTAAAATGGTCATGTTCATTTAGTAATTAAGCTAGGATTAAAAGAAAGATGAACTACCCTGAATTTGGCCTTTTCTGGCTACACGCTCTGACCAGAGAAGAATAGAAGTTTCCTGCTGGAGCCTCACAGTGTATAAAATGTACCCGGCAGAAGTAATGGCACGATTGTACAAACACAGCCATTTCAAAAGCCCCTCTGAGTCACTTTACAAGTTTCATCAATCACTCTGTGTGTTTGTAAGTTAAACCCTTACAGCAGATTAACCTAAAACTCGCTGTGGGGGAACAAATGCAAACGTCAAGTCAGTTCTGAGGAGAAACCAGTCACACTCATCCACTGATGTTCAAACCCAGGGATGTTCATGAATGTGGGGGAAACTGAGAAAGTGCTTTAGGTTTACCCTGGATCACAAACAATCCAGAGAGAATAATGCACCTGATGCAATGGATGACGTCATGAGTGCCATGGTTACTAAGCACGCAGCACAAAGAAGCCAGCGGTCAAAAACAAACAAAATGCAACATTTGGAGTGCTATGCTGCAGTGCAAGCTGATCCAGGGACGATCGAGCAGCCAGTGCACAGCAACAAAGCTGGATTCATACGAGGCATGACCGCCATGCACTTGGGGGGGCGGGGCCTGACCTGGAGGCTGGGCCCGGAGACGGCACTGTGCCGCTGCAGATGGGCCAGCGTGGTGTTGTTGCGCAGGCCCGCCATCTTGGCCTGGTGTCTCCTGAGCTGAATGAGGAGCAAGGTAAGCTCCTCCGGCTAAGCGCGGGGATGGCGGGATCGGGGGGCGGGGGGCGAGAATAGGAATGCTTTGTTCAGATCCTGATATTTACGTTTTAATGGGCGACCTTGACGAGACTCGGGGGGGGCACCAATGGGGAAACCCAGGCCCGAGAGAGCCCAGCAGAGCGAGGTCCTCCCATTCAAACACCCCAGACAAGTGGGACCAGTACAAGCAGAACCAGTCCTCTGCGTGAGACATACGCGTTCAGTCCGGATCACATAAGCTCAAAGACCCACGCCTGTACAGACATAATGCACGCAGGTAAGACACTTCTATCATAAACCCCCTACAGGACCGAGCAGCTACACATGATTCAGCCGTGGGTGGCCAGGGGGGGTGGGGGGGGGCAGCTACTTACCGATTTACCATGTAAACTAGGGGTGCTGACTGTGTGCGTGATATAGCCCATGGACGGCATAGATCGCCTCTCCATCTGAGAAGTCTGTGGGCAGGAGAGAGACAGAAAAATCACATGGGCTGCCTTCCCAGTGCCCCATTCCCAGGGGACTAAGAGACCCCACACCCATACCTTACTGGAATTAGATGTTAAGAAATAATAATAATAATAAAACTAATAATAATCTGTTAGTTTTCGATCTGTGCAAGAAATACGAGTGAGAAAAAAACATAGAACATTCACAAGCCTTTATATTATTTAAGAAATATACATAATTAGAGCCTGAATAAGAAAGTAAAAAAATTACAGTCAGGGAGGGTATCCATGCGAATGTCTCATATGCTCGCAAAGTTAAGCCACGCCCAATTCCCCACAAAACGGGACTTTAAGAAGAACTCGGCTCTTCATGCAAACTTCGCGTAGTGCTGATCAGACAGATCCGCGCCTTTATCCCTCCGCCCTGTTATTTGAGCGTTTGCGCGTTGGATGCGGCGTCTCGCGGGACCGAATCACCACACGTTTCTGTGGATGCGGCGCAGAGACCTGCCAGGATTACCGCCGGAGCCTCGGAAGGACACAAACAACGAGAGATTTAATTACTCACACATAAATTAGCCCAAACCTGCCTCCTTAAAATAACATTTGTTCGCTAGCAGCGGGTGCGAGAGTGGGAGGCGTTCGCAGTGTGAATTCCCCCAGCCCCGTTTTTTGCTGTATAATAGGTTTTTTTATTTAAATTAGAGATCAGACGAAAGACTCTCGCTGCTGATTTTTGGGGAGGGAGGGGGCTGCTTTTGGGATCCTAAACGGCCCCCGGCGCACAGCACTGGTCCTCGGTGCTTTAATGATACATTTGTACTGGGGGAAGAGAAAAAAAAAAACACACACACACACACACACACACACACACACACACTGACGCAGGGGAAAGAATTAAAAATGAATAAATAAATAAAAATGGAAAAAAAAAAAAAAACGCCAAAAAAGTTGCAAGATTCACGAAAACAAAGTTTACGCAATTCTCTGGACTGGAATCATTACCGCAGTCACGGCAGTAACTGGCTCCGCAGCGCGCGCTGAATTAAACACGTCCCTCGCTTGCCCCTTTAATACAGCTGCGGACGCATTGCGCAGCGTCTAATTGCAAAGTGCTAATTAGTAGCGTTGGCTCATTAAAGAGGCCCGGCAGCTGGATGCAGGACTGGCGGACGGATGCGCTGCGACTGTACAGCTGCACGGGGCTGATTCACGCGTGGGAACAAGAAGCAGCTATGACCTGTGGGGGGGGTGTGGTGGAGTCACTGGCCGGGCAAAGAGCGTGACCTCATGAGCACCTGGCAGGCGGGTAACCGGGGCGGAGGCCGTGTGATTGTCCCACCCTGCTCAAGATGTGGCCCCATAAAACTCCAGCAGGACAATTTCCCACACTCCCGTCAAAGACCTTTCTCTACGCCAGTGATCTTAGGGCCCCCCAGGTCCTCAAATCTGTGGTCGGGGGCTCCGTGAGCGGTGCGATCCTCCACCGTCAGTCAGGGTTTATTTTAACGGGACAGGCCTTCCCAAAGCTTTTAAAAATCATTGCCACTAGGTGGCGTGATGAGCACGGCAGCACTCCTGCGGCACACAGGTTCTCACCTTGGACAGCTGGGTGCGCATTTGCAGGGGGGAGCCTGAAGGAGGCACTACCACGGGTGGCCTCTCGTGCGGCGGTCGTACGGTCACCCGCTCGGAGGGTGCGTGAAGCCTCCGCGGAGAAAGGGTCTTCGGCGGAGGCCCCGGAGGGGGGATGTCGGAGGGCGACGGAGGCACCGAGATGGAGCGGGGAACCTCCAGGGCTGCCCTGAAGGAGGCGGGATCGATGCCGTACATGGGCACCGTCGGGCTGCCGTAGCGGAACTGCTGCCGCTGCTGCCACTCGTAGAGCTGCCACACGGTGTCCTCCTTATGGGCCACGCGCTCGTCCGTGGACATGCGCAGGTGACTCAGCCGGTCCTGGGCGTACTTGTAGTCGCCGGTCAGGTGACGGGGCGCCAGAGGGGGGGTAGCGCCCATCGAGTGGCGCGAGGCCTTCGGCAACGACGGGTAGGGATCCACGGCATTTGCCTGCGGCCGCACGCTTCTCCGTTGGAGCGTGTGCTCAGAGGGCAGCAGGCTGCCACGACAGCAGAGCAGGCAGAGAAAAATTTACACTGAATTCACACACATCATAGACTCCTGGGCAACCATTACTTAGCTTATACTGTATTACACACCCTTTGGGTGGATTTCCTTCTGTTTACTCTGCTTTGAGTACAAAGGGTTTCTGGTGCATCGATGCAACATATTTGTGGCCAGTAGAGGGAGATGTTCACTCACAGCTACCACACTGTATTCACACCAAACTCCAAAGGAAATAATCTTTCAAAAAGTCATACATGCTACAAATGGTAAGAATAGGGTTTTAAACATAGCACATAAACTGTTCAGTAATTCACAAATAATTTTCCATTTTAAATGCAAAATTTTCATATACACAATAGCCAGCAAGACCTTTCAGAGTGTGACATGCATGTAGGTACTAGAGAAGTACTAGGGAGCATTTTTTTGTACTAGGGAGCATTTCTCCTCGCCTGTGTGGACCAGGGGGGCGTTCCATGAAGCAGGATTTCTCAGTTAGCTGGGTATGTTAAGCTAGAAGGCATTATTGTCCAGTAGGGTTCTCCTTACCTACACTCTTATTGGACAATCATGACCTACAGCTTAAGTTAACCCAGATAACTAAGAAATCCGGCTTTGTGGAAAACCCCCCAATGCAGGGACCTGCACCGCATCCCACTGACCTCATGGGGTCTCCCTTCTGCACCTTCACCCAGTGCTCCACCTGGGCCAGCGTGTTCTTCCTCTGCTGCTCCACATCCATGGGGGAGGCCACGCCCCGACCGTGCGGAACGCCACCATTATGCTCGGGATGGACGCCCATCTTGTGCACGGGGGGCACCGACGGGGCCCGCGAGAAGGAAGAGTTTGGGGAAAAGGCGTCTACATTCCTGCCTCTGGACGGTGACCGGCCTGGAGCGTGACCCTCGTCTTTCCGGAAGCCATAGCGCTCCCCGCGTCCCGGGTCGGACCTCTCAAAGCTGTTCACTTTCTCCGGCTTCCCAGGCTGCCACGTGTCATCCAGATGGGCGGGGCTTTTCTGCTTTCCATTGACGTGATTCGCCTGCGGGGCGGCCAGCTTGCCATCCTTCTTAGACTTCGTCGCCTCCCTGGCAGAAATTAACAAAAAGATAATAAGAATTAAATATAAATAAATCTGAATGGTTGAAAAGATGGAGTACCAAGAAATCAATGCCTTCCTGACGGCAAAAAAAAAATCCGCAGCCCATAATAACATTCGAAGAGATAATTTTTTTGAAAGCCAGTTGAGATGATGTGGCTCGTTATCACGTTTGTCACTGCAGGAAATACGAGGTTTAAAAAAAAAAGCCAGCAGGGAGATAGACAGGAATTTTATTAGCGGGGCAGGAAGATTGAGCCAAAGCTTGGGAAGAGGAACAGGCAGCCTGACGCCTGTCAAGATGACACCCTGGAAAGTGATGAGGGAGGGTGTCACCCCTGACAGTCAAAGAGATACCCTCGGGTGATTGGAGTGATCATTTGCTGCGTACTGATCGTCTCCTTGCAAGCCATTTATCATCCCGCTGGGTCGGAATTACTTAATGCACCTGTAATCTGTAATCACAGGTTCACAGGACAGAATTCATCATAAAATCGGTTCAATGCATTCTGAAGAGCATCTTAATTTTCAGGCAGAAGACTGCTCTCAAGTAAGACTTAAAGCATAGTTAATGATGTGAACAATTATATATATATATATATATATATATATATATATATATATATATATATATATATATATATATATATATATACACACACACATATATATATAAATACACATAAAAAATTGACAGCTTATGGAGGCAGTCCCTTGAAGAACACAATCTCATAGACATAACATCACCTCTTCAGGATTGGGACTGCAGTGACGCTCTTCTTGAGGTTGTGTATATGTGAGTAAAGAGTAATCATTAACTGTGACAGCGGATCCTGTCCTTATCTGGTCTCCCAGGTGGCATGGAGATCGTTCGCCCCCTTGTGGAGACAGATGGCACCTGCACTGCATCCTACTGGCCACTAGATGGTGTGTGAGCACTGCAAACCTCATGATGGAGTACGGCAGACAGGGCAAGGCTATGATTCTGCAACTTACCTGAATTCAATCTGCTCCCACGCTTTCTAATGCAGCCCTATTAATCTATTAATCAGTATAAGCAAAGCAAAAAAGGAAGCAGATTCATAAAACCAAGTTATTGGATTCCACTAGAAAAAGAAAGAAGGGCAAGAAAACTGATCGCAACCAACTGATTTGGATATTTAAATCCAAACCTCTTGTCCCTGATTGGCTCCACTGTTTACCTTGCGTGTCACAGTGGATGGATATTATGAGTGATGTAGCCCAGGTCCTGTCCAGCTAATGAAAAGGAACAAGCAGGCTCACTTTGAAAAACCCATAGCGCATTTGTCATTTAATGGCTGATCTATAGGCTATGTGGTAGCTTGGGTATGTTGGGAGAGCCAGTCACATAGGACCCGTGACCTTAGCTCAGTTTGTGCTAAAGTCATCCCCAGAAATGGCCCACAACAGCTCCAACCTTCAGGCAGAAGGCTAAAAGAGGCAGAACGAGCAGCACCGTGTGCACGTCCTCATTCAGTGACATTTAGCCTTTCCCACCGGGCCTGAGCTCATGGTGGAGGAGGAAGGTGACGGGCCGTTCCCCAGGGGCTTCTGGGAGCAGAGTGCTAGGCAGCCACAGGTCATCCCGCATAACAAACGGCCTCAACTTACCGTGACACCTGGTCTCCAGCACAGCACCAGAGAAGTACACTGAGTGCCAGGTTGGCACAGGGTGGGGAGACTGGCACAGGTGCCGGGACACTTAACTAAGCACTATCTGCCCGCGTGCGAAGGGGTGCGAGGCATTCTGTTCCACTCTCACTGCAGCCAGAAGTCCACTGAGAACCATATGCCTTTTTCCAGGATTACGGTCAGCTACCTTCCTCACAGAGGGACCCGTTTGCAGTCTTCCTCATATCACCCTTCTCATTTCTTCAGATCTGCTGTGCAATGCTCACAGACAGCTGATCTGGGCTACATTAAACATGCATCATGCTGTATACAGGCATGAGAACGACTGACAAAATGATGACATCATCAGACGAAGACACAGTACAAGCAGGATGAAGTACAGATGGACAGATACACCAAAATACTGAGACAGACACACAAACCAGTAAGCAGGAAGACAGACTGACTCACATACAGGCACATGGAGAGAGAGACAGACAAAAGGAAGCCAGGTAGGGAGGGTGCTGGTGTTGGACTGACCTACTGAGCCCATGGGTCTGCATGAGTGCCGCCTGGTTCATGGCACGGACCCAACCGTTCATGTCCTCCAGGGTGTCGGCGCTGAAGTAGTACGTGCGCATACCGCTGTGTTCGGCCTGTGAGCCAATCACAGAGTGCCTGTTGTAAATGTAGGAGCGCATCCCTGTGTGCACCGCCTGCAACAGAGTGCCAAGACGTGAGCCGGGACTGAACCGTCAGTACAAATTGTGCCACACCAATACAAAGCAGGTACAGTCCTATCAGCGACATCAATACAAAGCAGGTGCAGTCCTATCAGCGACACCAATACAAAGCAGGTGCAGTCCTATCAGCAACACCAATACAAAGCAGGTACAGTCCTATCAGCGACATCAATACAAAGCAGGTACAGTCCTATCAGCAACATCGATACAAAGCAGGTACAGTCCTATCAGCAACACCAATACAAAGCAGGTACAGTCCTATCAGCGACATCAATACAAAGCAGGTGCAGTCCTATCAGCGACACCGATACAAAGCAGGTACAGTCCTATCAGCAACACCGATACAAAGCAGGTACAGTCCTATCAGCAACACCGATACAAAGCAGGTACAGTCCTATCAGCAACACTAATACAAAGCAGGTACAGTCCTATCAGCAACATCAATACAAAGCAGAAACAGACCTATCAGCAACACCGATACAAAGCAGAAACAGACCTATCAGCAACACCGATACAAAGCAGAAACAGTCCAACCAGCAACACTAATACAAAGCAGGTACAGACCTATCAACAACACCGATACAAAGCAGGTACAGTCCTATCAGCAACACTGATACAAAGCAGGTACAGTCCAACCAGCAACACTGATACAAAGCAGGTTCAGTCCTATCAGCAACACCGATACAAAGCAGAAACAGACCAACCAGCAACACTAATACAAAGCAGGTACAGACCTATCAGCAACACCGATACAAAGCAGAAACAGACCAACCAGCAACACTAATACAAAGCAGGTACAGTCCTATCAGCAACACTAATATAAAGCAGGTACAGAGCTATCAGCAATACCGATACAAAGCAGAAACAGTCCAACCAGCAACACCAATACAAAGCAGGTACAGACCTATCAGCAACACCGATACAAAGCAGAAACAGACCAACCAGCAACACTAATACAAAGCAGATACAGTCCTATCAGCAACACCAATACAAAGCAGAAACAGTACTATCAGCAACACCAATACAAAGCAGAAACAGTACTATCAGGCACAAGATACAAACCAGAAACTAATCCTATCAACCACCAAAATCAGTCATATTAATAGCCAAACCAGCACAAACAAAAACCAGCCCTAATGACCACAACCAACCAATACCAATCCTTTCAACCACACTGCCACTAATCACCAAACCAGCAGAAATACCACACCAAATGTAACAGACAGAGCAGGGCCATGCAGATGGAAACAGTTCAGTAATAATAGCTGTATAATGAACAACCTTTATCTCAGCTTTGTCTAATCAGGGCTGCATTTAGATTATTCCAGCCATAAATTTCCATTTCCAAAGAATCTTCGAAAGATTTTCCAAGGCTCATTAAGACATTAGAGTTGAATGCAAATGGTTCTCACAAATTAACCCTAAAGTCACGCCTGCTTCCACCAAAATTAAATCCATGATTCTTTTTAAGGCTTTAATGCCTGATTAGTTACCCTAATATCAGCTATATTGTCAAGCAAAGCTCTTTATAAGACACAAAGGGACATGTCATAGCCACTCCCCCCCCGCAATGAGCCCCTAACCCTTCCTGCCAGAAAACCAAACCTGAAGTTCCTTCAGCATCTCGAAGCCCCCTCACCTCATTGCATCTTCATCAAGGTTGGGATAGAGAGCTCTGCTGTCGAAACCTGCTGTAACCCGGGGCTTTCACCATCCCATAAATCTATCCCGTGGGGGGGGGGAGACAAGTGCAAAGGCCCCCCCACTGGTTAATAACGCTCGAGCTAAGCGGCTTGGAGTCCCAGCGTAAGGCTATCTGCTGTTGCTGCTTTGGGATAACCACTTCTCTACACCCTCTGCTCTCTGCCATTCCCCTGCAAACCCAACCCAACCCCAACGTACTGTGCATGGATCTGTGTAACCCTTTCATTAACGTAATCACACACACACTGGCCCAAGCTCCCAAATTACACGCCCGTCCTGATAGGGTTCCCACCCATCCCTTATAAAACGGGATGATGGTGGCAACTCTACGCCCTGATGAACTATGGAGCATCATACCCAGGTCTTATCTGGTTTCTCCCAAGTACAACTGGGTCTGTTTACATCACATGACCACCACAAAACAAAACAATTTCCGTTAAATATACAGGAGATGCCCGCAGGCATGTGATTTGCAAGATTACTTTAAGCTGTTGTTTTTTTTAAGCTATTGTTTAGATGGTTTATCAGAGTACTGTAGGCTGTTGCTGCACTCACTGTGGACTGGCAGGAATGGAAACAGCGGGATTACTTTGCTTTGCTGTATTCTGGCTCTGAATTTTTGTTTTCACAGTGCAGCGCTGCATTAATCCTGCCTGGCTGACCCAGTACAATCTTCATCGATTGCTTTGGGGAATGAGGGCCCCACTGTTTGCAATGGACACACACACACACGCACACACACACACACACACACACACAGACACACGCACACACACACACACATGCACAGACACACACACACACACACACACACACACGCACACATTTTTCAAGAAGTCCTATAGTTTATTAAGCCCTTAATCATAGGTGACTTTTTACTGGGTGTACAATTGCACCCTCTATTGGTTAAATGAAAATGCTATTTCATCTATGCTATATTAAGTTCAATAGAATAAAACTATAGCATGAAGTTATATTTGAAAATGTGCTACTCATTTTAAAGTGTAATAATAATTTATTGTACATGTATTTACTATTTTATTTTATACAAATTTATTTATCTGGATGAATGACTGGTTGAGGGCTCTCTCCTTGCACCTCCTGGGAGAAAAACCCTTGAGTCACCTACGCCTCTGATATCTGTTAGGTCTATTAATGTCTACTAGGTAAAAAAAACACTTTAATTTATAGAGACATTGGTGCCATAGGACTGACTGTGCCTGACAGCAATCTACACGACTCCTTCAGAAATGAAGTGATTACGACTTAACCTTTTATCCTCACAATTCCTCTTTAACAGCCAATTCCCTAAAAGATAAGATGTAGTGATCCAACTTGATAAAATAAACTAGGATCCAATAAACCAAGGTCACCATAAAAATGTCATCCCGTGAAGTCCCCTCCCAGTCAGCAGTTTGGCCGTCCTGTTACAAGAAGCAGCCTCCGTCCCCTAAGCAATAGCAATCTCCCATTTCCCAATCTCCCATCTCCAAACACAAAAAGGAGATCATCTGGCAGGCACTTTCTGACATTTTAATCCAAAAAAAGCACGAGACACTGAAGAGGTAAAACACAGCACTACAACTACAGGAAATGCTGATTAAACAAAACAGCATGTTCTGAACATGATACATACAGATAAAACTGAGCAGCTTACACACACAAACACACACACAAGCACACACACACACACACACACACACACACAGATGTCTCAATAACTTGTTTATTTCAAAGCCAAAGAAAATCAACTCATTTATTTACAGATGAGGTGATAAGAAGTAACAAAAATCAGAAAATACCTATACCTGAAGGGGCCCTTCTGGAGGAACAGGCTCACTCGCGCCATGTACCCGAGCAGGGCGCCCGCGGGGTCAAAGGTCAGTGACCGGCCAATGGGGATGAGAGAGGGACAGAGAACCTGAGCAAATAGTACAGGGGCACCGCCTCCCCGCCCTTAGTAGGGGTGTGTGTTAGTCAGACAGGGGGGCAGACGCTTACACGGGCACAGGGGCTGGGGCCATTGATCTGCAGCCCTGGGGGCGGGAGGTACGAGAAGCGCTTAGCAGCGTTACTACAGGCATCAGATTGGGGGGGGGTGGGGGAGCAGACGGGGACACCTGACAACCTGATGGCGGTTTGGTGCTGCAGGATGACACCGTGAGCTGGAACAGCGGGCCCACGATTGGCCAAGACACTCAGAATCCCACTCGGCAGCTAAACGGCAGCAGAGTGAATTCTACGCCCAGCACGTCATGGGCCTTCAGCGCCTCATTCGTTTAATTTCCATATTTCTTCAAACATAATATGCGATCGCAGAAAGAGATGGCCTTGCTTTCAATAGGCTTACACCGAAAAGGCACTTACAGGTGAGAAAAAAAGGCCACCAGCACGCACAAGAAAAGAATGTGCGCTCAAAGCAGGCAGCCCTGACGGAACATCAGCAGAACGAGTCCCTTTCTGCCAGCACGATCTTTCTGATAATGACTACTTTACACCCTGGATAGTGTCACGGAGCCCTGTCAGCGTACGGATGAGAAGCTGATAGTTAACAGGCTAAATTTTCCCTCCTGGCACTACCTCTGTCCCACTGGAATGAAAAGAGAGCTGGCTAACGCCGGAATGACATCACACGTCACTATTTCAGCCATGCAAGACGGCAAGCGGGAAGAACGGAGAGTTACTGCCCTGGAATTCCCATTGCGGTACCTATTCTTACGAGAAGGTTGTCCCCAACAGCTGGGAGAGTTCTGCACATTCCAGATGCTTTGTTTGCGTTAGGAGACGTTACAGATGATGAGGTGTGGCCGGATAGGTGCTGCCTCCCAGACTGTCTGACAGAGAGGGTGGATCTACTGAGGTTTACTGAAGTTCGCATGACAAAACAATTTACGTGGGAGGTGTCAGATGCCTTGAAGTGTTGGAGGGAAAAAAACTACAGAAACTGGCACATAAAACGATTTGTTTCCTTTATTTCTCTTCCATTTCAAAGTCATCTACGTTGGGAGTAGCTGGAGGATGTCGCTCTCCGGCTGAAACTAGAGGTGTGTGGAAACAGGCTGTTCTGTGTTTATGGTCCAGCCCTCATAGTGAAGGTGATGACACAGCACAGTGATTAGGTCATAGGATGGGTGGGGTAATCACAGGCGTCTAGGAGAGCTACTGTTCACAAGGTTTTTAGGAAATGAAACTTCACCCTGAAACTACAGATTTGGTGCTTCATTCAGTCTCTTCCCTGTCTCTCAGCCCTACAGTAACAGCGTCTGCAGCCAACCTATTGATCACTTTACACTCTGGTCTGTAGTAGACTGAGGTGGAAGGTTCTGGTCCAGAAAGTAAAAATCCAGACCAAGTGTTTGTTTCAACCAACCAGTTGAGTATAAAGAGTCACAGTCACAGAGTAACTCAGCTGGTTGGTTGAAACAAAACCTTGGTCTGAATTCTTACTTTCTGGACCAGAACTTTACACTTCTGCTCATTATAAGGTATTGATAAAAACACGACATGTATTGCAATTTGGCCATTCCTCATAAAAAACCTTCATTCATTTATGTGTATGGACTGATGTTGGTGAATCCTGGTACAGGTTTGCTTCCTGAGAAACACTGGGTGTCATATTTGGGGCACACAACAAGGTTCATGGGACAGTTCGAAATGTGACCAAATGTCCATGAGAAGCCACGGAGAGACCGCCAAAAGACCATTTAGGGACAACAGGACAACACAGAGCACCATGCATTTTGACAAGCAGGCAGCTGGCAAAAAGGTGAGGGGACACAAGTTACGTGTGGACCGACAGAGACAGAGACGGACACGGCTACTGATGTCATCGGCAATAACATGCTCCTCGACAGCACTGCAAACTCTGGAAAATGCATCCTCGCTATCCAACTGCTAGCCAGTTAACATAGGGGGCCGTCTTCCACGGCCTTCATTGGGAACAGAAGGGAAAGGGATTAATGTCACATGACAGGTCAACCGAAGGAACAGGGAAGCCAAACAGAAAAACGTCACGCAGCAGCGATTAACAAAGTGTTAACATTCTTAGGAATCACAGCAGTCATTTAACTGAGTCTAATTTAGCCGAAACTGAGACACATCCCAAAGGTTCCGCTAATTCTGCAGTGAAGTATTCACATGTGAGGATTATCCTAGCCTCCGGTATGGCTTAACGGCGCATGTCAGGCCTAACGAGCTAATCGAAGATGTGGGCGGCGCCTCCAGCGAGCCTGCTGCGGTACGATGTCAATAGACATCTTGCTTTCGACACCGGCGTCGCCAGCTGGCGCGAGGAGAGGAACTGCAGCTCCGCCCCTCAGAGGCACGCCTTGAGTGGCACCTCTACCCGCCCATCACAACTATTAGCACGTTATGCAATGCAACCAAACTAAGTGTGAATGGGCTAAGCCTCATTTAGATGTAATAATATTAAGCCATCAACAGTATGATGAACATCTGGGTTTACAGATGTGCCGCTTAACCCTTCGTTTACGAGACGGGCGCTTACCTTGAAGGCGTACTTGCGGCTGATGTGGTCGTCGGGGTCCACCGGGGCGACAACATAACTGGGCAGGGGAATACTGCCTAAGACCGTCTCCTCCCGGCTGTCTGTGGATACACCATAAGCAGGGTGGTCACCTATGGCGCCATGTTCCCACAATTCCCTGCTCATTCCCACACCACACCTGCCTTCCTACCTCGTATCACGCATCGTGTAATGCAATAATAAATAGGGGCAGAAGTCCTTCGTCCCCTTGAAACTGTTGCTCTTATCTCATCATCAGCAATTGGTCATTGAGTGTGTGTGCATGTGGGTCATGTATATATTACATTGTGTGTGTGTGTGTGTGTGTGTGTGTGTGTGTGTGTTTTGCTCGGCGTCTATGTGTGCCAGAGATACCAGCAGGACGAGAGGATTACGGCAGCAATGGGTCAGAAATAATTCAAGGATCTTTAAAGGAGACGTTCCCCGGACCACGGCCGGTCTTTCATCTCCAACACGCAATGGACGACGGGACAGTTTCCCGTGCCAACAAGACTGGAAAAGCCAGGATCTGTTTGTGTCCCGTTTTTGGGAGGGAGCCAGGAAGAGGGTGTGTGTGAGGCCCGGCAGATAGAGAACATAAGAACATAAGGAATTTACAAACGAGAGGAGGCCATTCGGCCCATCGAGCTCGTTTGGGGAGAACTTAACTAATAGCTCAGAGTTCTTAAAATCTTATCTAGCTCTGATTTAAAGGAACCCAGGGTTTTAGCTTCCGCTACACTAGCAGGAAGACTATTCCATACTCTAACTACACGCTGTGTAAAGAAGTGCTTCCTCAAATTTGTTTTAAAATGTTCTCCCACTAATTTCCACTTATGGCCAATGAGTTCTAGTATTTAGACTAATATTGAAATAGCCATTTGGCTGAACAGCATCCAGACCCGTTAGAATCTTATAGACCTGGATCATGTCCCCCCTTAGTCTCCTTTGCTCAAGGCTAAACAGATTCAGTTCCGCTAACCTTTCCTCGTAAGACATTCCTCTAAGACCAGGAATCATTCTCGTAGCTCTGCGTTGCACCTTTTCTAAGGCAGCAATGTCCTTCTTAAGGTATGGTGACCAAACCTGCACACAATATTCTAGGTGGGGTCTTACCAAGGAATTATATAAATGTAACATCACCTCCCTTGACTTGAACTCCACACACCTAGAGATATAACCCAACATTCTATGTAGGTAAGACCAGACGACACAGTTACACAGAAATATTTGAACTCGCAATAGGAAGAGTTTATTTTTTCCCACAGATATGATGCTAAAGACCTCCGTGGGTCCAGCCGAGCTCCCAGCGGCACCCCCAGCTGCCTCACCTTTGTAATAAAACAGGCAGAAATCGGACAGGACAAACCACCTCCGCTTCCACAGCCTCATTCCGGAGCTGTCCTGAAAGCAGAAACGGCACAAAAAACAGGGGGAAGGGATATATTTTTAGCTTTCTTTGCCTTTTTAAGTTCAAATTGCCATTTTGCAGGCAGAGGCAGCCCTGCTGGAGACCAGGCCTCAAGCAGGTCATTAAAGTAACAAAAGTCACCAGCATTCATTTACTTCGGAGTAGTAAAGGAATGAGGCAAAGGAGGAGGTCTAGCTGTTCATCTATCATGAATGTCCGCCGGGCCAAACCAACTGCCAGGGACTGGCAGGGGGGTCCCACCTGCTTGAAGAGCCAGCCCCTCACCACCACCGGTATATTTGGGTTCCGTTTGATGGCGTGGTCCCTCTTTCCGAAGTTGTGGACCTTTCCCCCGGACTTGGTGCCCTGCAAAATTAAAAAAAAAAAATTAAAAACATGCAGTTTGCTTATGATTCGGACGGCCTGGCTCATTTTCTGGACAGGGTGCGGGCACAGACCACTGAGCGGGAGGCGGACACATCCTGGGCCGGCCAAGCTTCCACAGGCCTCAATTAGCACTGAGCACGCAAATGCAGCCAAAATGGGCACCAGCGTCACCATCGGGCATGAGTGGCACGCCGCTGTGCGTCTGGGCCGTTTCCACGCCTCCCGCACATTCCCAGCGAGAGCAGTAATCCCCATCTGATGTAGGATTTATCCTGACAGCGCGGGCTTTATTTAAACAGAAGAAACCCAGCACTAATTCTTCAGCAAATTAATGAAATCATGCTAGCAAACAGGAAACAAATTACAGGCCGGAGTGAATTTAATTACTCCTAAATACACAGAAGAGAGAGCTAGTAAATGACGAGAGGCTTGTCCAGTGACACACACCATTGTGGTTCTTTGTAGCGGGCAATAACAACAAAAACAAAGGAAACAAAAAAGAGCTTGTGACGCAAGTCTGTTCATTTTGGGGTGGAACCGCTGCATCCGGACCAGTTGCGATTTCTCCAAGTCTGGTTCAGTATGAGCCGCTGGAGCCATCCAAACATGCCAGGCTTGAAGCGCGGACATGCCCATGCAGCTACATGGTCGGTTCACTCGGGAATCGATCTGTCAGTCATGATTTTGTGGGGGCACCAGGCAGCATCGCAACCAGAGCCGGTGGTATCAGGTCACAATTAGGGTCCTCGGTGTGGAAGAACCGGGTCCACTACGGACTGTAAATGGGACAGGAACATGAGAGCGCCATGCTCCATCGTGACTGACGGGATACAGAGGAGCCTTTACGAAATCACGTAGTTTTATATACCATCAGACCAGGGTGAAATGTCCTTTCCGGGGACAGGCTCTCATTCAAGAGCGAAAAACGGTTGTAAAGATGCTTCCTCTGCGACGTTATTTGAAAAATGGTTCCTTAAGCTTCAAATATATATGACAAAGCGAGAGTATGATTAACACCCTGACTCCTTGCGGCAGTGCAGCATAACATGCTTATAAGAATATTACTCATCTGGATGCTGAGGACCATGTGTGATATCAGAGTCTTGTGTATTTGTCTTGTGTATACAGAGTCATTTATCGATATGATGGACATAAGGCATCCCTGCAATGCAGGAGTTTTACTGGTTCAGACAGATAGCCAATCAGATTGTAGAAGAAGTGGGTTCAAGTAACCAGACGAAGCAGGACCAACCACTCAGATGTCTTGGTCCCGTCTCCTCTAGTTACTTGGGCCCACCTTCTCTACGATCTGATTGGTGATCTTTCTGAACCAATCATTTTTCTTTCGGCCCTCAGAACAATTTTGTGTAAGCAAAACTCCCATAAACGCAATGCAGTGCCTGTTAATGTTAACGGACAGTCCTAAACTACTGCCCCAGACTGGTCTGGGATCAGTCAAGTAGCACACGGACAAGGGAGACTGCAAGCTCATGGTCAGCTGCTCAGGGGAACAGAAGAACATAGGAGAAAGCCAGGAGGTCACTTTTCAAATTGAGTGCCACCAATGCTTTAATGGAACCCTGCCCATCTGCATCCATGCAGCTGATTTGCCAATGATCGATTTCCGGAGGTATTGCTGTGGTTAGACCCAGGGCACGCCTGCATATACACAGCCCCACTCCTGACCTCTGAAGGAGCCATTTAATTGAATCCATTCCCCACCCCCACCATGATCTGGGGGGTTTTAATTGGCTCTCTATGGACTCGGCCTACATTCATGCGCCCATCCACCCATTAAAGCCCATGGTGATTGATCAGCCCTTCAAATCAGCCAAATGGCAGCCGGCTGGCAGTGCATAGTATTGGGAGCAAAACCCAACTGCCATTAATAAATGTGTTTATCAGCCTGAAAATCTGCTTTGTCAAGGGGAACATTAATTACTCCCCATTACCCGCAGGGGAAGGCAAAACAACTCCGATTTCATTGAGTAGTAGATGCTTTACAGCTCTCTCTTACAAGGATTTGACCTTAAACGGGGAGAGGCAGGATGCCAGTGTATTAAATCTCAACAGCACCTTCTTGGGGCACGTCTCCAGTAAGCAGCGTCCTCACCTTTAGTCCGGAGACAGCATCCACCGTGGACGAGGTGACAGCTGCAGAAGACTCGCTGACCATGCTGGAGGGCCGCTGGCTGGGATGCGGCATGGACATGCGGGGGTTTGACCTGCAGGGGGCAGTGAACGGTTATGGGAGACAGTTAGGAGCCCAGATATCTGAAGACACTTTCTGTGACAGATTTCTGAAACCAACCCAGGAACAAAAAGACATCTTTCACTCTATCTGCTAACCTTTTATCCTGGTCAAGGCCACTGGGAGCCTGGGGTATGTATAGGGAACAAAGCTGGGGAACCAGTTCATACATATACTATGGGAAATTTAGATACACCAGTTATCCAAAATGTATGTGAAGAAAACCGAAATACACCATGAGAACATCTCAGTAGAGGTGGAACCAGTCACCATGACACTCAACAAATTAGACAAAGCATATAACATAGCATACCACAGTATTCTGGGTAGCGTTGCTTTTTTAACATATTGTCAAAACATCATACAGATGCTACCCAGGTTACGATGGGGTTACGTTCCAATAAACCTATTGTAAGGAAAAAAATATCATAAGGCGAAAATGCATTTTAATAAAGCACACCTAACCTAACAAACAAACATCACAGCCTAACTTACCTTAAACATGCTACGAATACTTACATTAACTAGTTGGTGCAAAATCATTAACACAAAGCCTAATTTATAATACAGTGTAATATCTTATGTAATTTATTGAATAATGTACTGAAAGTGCAAAACATTTACCCATCGTACAGTCGAAATATCGTAACATGGGCCAATCTAACTTGAGGAGCATCTGTATTCCAGGGTTTAATGCCTGGTCGGTATGGCGGTATAAGAGATTAGATACCATCTAAGCCTATTTTTAATCACAGGAGATCAAGATTGCTGAAAACGGCACTAAAAAAAGAAGGTCACCCAGAAACAACGACAGGTCACAACGGGGGACTGTTTCTCCAGCAGTGCCCCACTGGCAGGTGCAGTGAAGACATGTGTGGGTGTTGGTAGACTGTCCAAAGGGAGGCAGGAGGCTGACAATGTAACAGGTCTTGCAAGACTAACTGAACAAAGGCACTGTCACCTCAGTGGGTGAAAGAGCTAACAGACTCTCCAGCTCCCCCTTCCCACCCGGGAAAGGCAAGGGAGAAACTCATATTGGCTCGTCACTGTACACAGACACATGCGGAGGAGCCACTTTAGCCACCAAAAGGCAAAGACAGCCACTATTCCCAGGAAGGACCCAAAACAGCAGCTGAGAAATATGGTAAGAGCTTGGCCCTCTGAATCACTACTGTGTCTCTGCTTGACATTGACTCTTATCTCCAGCGGTGGGACACACCAGTGGGGGGGAGGGGTGTGGGGGGGGTTAGCCTCGTTCTCGCTGCACATCGTACTCCAGTGAAAGCATAATTTACACAGGGCTCCTACTCCCATGTTCCTTTGAGTGTCGTACAATGGGACAGTCGAGGGCAGCAAACGCACTGCTTTACAGCGGCACCCCTGAAATGTGGCAGGCTGTTAATTTCCGTTAATTAAATGCCAAAGAGCCCCCCCCGGTCCATGTGGAGCCCGGGGCTGTCGCATAGTTGGCGGAGACTCAGAAGAATCTCTGGAACCTTCTGAAGGTCATGTGAGGCTAGTGCTCTCCATCTCTAACCACTGAAAGGTCATGGTCACTGAAATGTTCAGGACTGGTGTTAAATGGGGGTGGGGGGTGGACAGCACAGCCACATGTCAAGTGAGAGGTTCCTCATTTACCATAAGGCTTTGAGCTCTGCTCTCTACTCAGTCCACAAAATGATAAATTCTCCCTGACTTCCATAACATCGAAGCCTCACAAACTGGAACCTCCATATGTGAATAGTGGCTTGGTGATCTGCATACGGCCTTTTGTGGTTTGACACGAGCCACCCATAGACACACAATACAATCTATGGGAAACACATGTGCTTACAGCCAGTCTATTCACACGGGAGACGCAGATCCAGAGCCCCAGGCTGGGGCTGCGCCTCCATAAGTGCCTCCCTAAGCACCTCCTGGTGTAAGGGAGGCACTGCCTGCCCAGAGGGGTTGGCGTGAGTGAATGCCCGTAAGCCCAGAATCAGTGACGGGTGGCATCTGGTAATGTGGAGAAGGCCATGGTGCCAGCTAGTTACCCCACCAGCTCCAGCTTTGGGGCAACAGGGGCGAAGGAGGAGTGAGACCGGCTAGAACCTTATGGGAGTTCATAAAAAGAACCGTTGACTCTTCATGAGGTTCGTTGACCACACTCATCACGACCGACGCTACATCCGCATGTCTGGATCCACTAGGCCGCCGTGACCGAAGCCCGATTCTCCTTCATCGCCGGTTCAGGAATTCAGCTGCCATGTTTAACCAGGTACCAGCTCCCATGAAGGATACAGTTCGAGAGTCATCCTTGGCTTCCAGTCAAAAGAAAGAGTGATTTACTGCATGTTGTCAAAGGAAGAATCATTTCTACTCAGACATGTGGAGAAATCCAGGTGGAGCTGCGAGCCAGCAACCACACCTAGAGAAATGCAGTGCTGGGAATTAACAGCAGACTAACTCCCATGGAGAAGTCATTGTGCAGTGTTTTATAATTCAACAAACAGAAACTGCATAGTAAACTGGAGTTCCTTGATTATGCATTTAGCAACATATGGACAGAAGCTCTTTGCTGGTGTTGATCCTGAGTTACATCATGGACCAGAAAGGTCATTTCCCATAACCGTGCAGCCAATACATGGTTACATTGAGAATGTCAATCTCAGAGAACACTCACAGACAGCACAACAAACAAGCCCGCCACAGATTAACATAACTTGCACACTCATATATGCAATCCCATCAAGGAGAACCTGCAATCTCCCCACACAACATCAAGGTTGGAATCGAACCCACAACCCTGGAGGTTTAAAGCCACGGTGCTGAGCCACCAAGTGCATTGGACACGATCAAGGATTCTTTTTACAACATATAAGCTTTTAAAAAGCAGTTAAATGATTTTAATAAACTGATTTGAATACAATGATCAACCAATTACCTGTAACAAGGGTAACCTTTTCCCACTGGGCAATGACCCCTAAATACAGGAAAACATGAGTGGAATGTTTTTGTGGTGCAGCTTTGTAACAGCGTGTGAAACTGCTCCGGGAAATAACTTTACGGAGGCGTCGTCTAAGCTAAACACCAGTGCAGCGACGTGGCAGATGAATCAGCGTTCCCAATTGGGAACATTCAGCCCATCTTCTCAGCTCATTGCTAACGTCTGTCCACCATTTCCTTCCCCATGGGAGGCAGGTTGAAACTAGTGGGGGGGCCCAGACATCACCCCACCATGGAATTGTGAAAAAAACAACAAGGAAACGAAGGCAGGTTACTGTACAAAAGCTCACAGAAGGACTGCTTTCCAGCTCCGCTCTGCTTCTGTGACTCTCAGTATGGACTATATACAATGAGTGAGGGGACCAGCTGTCTCAATTAGGACTGCTTCAGTAGTCATGTGACCTCAGTACTTTAGCGACATGGAAAATAGCTTTTCACTTCCACTCATCTCAAAACAAAACCAGGCTTAACAGGCACACCTGCCCATAATCAAGCGCATCCACAGGTACAAACTTCAATATTCAGCTGACACAGCCTCTGAAGAAACCAACCCTGTTAGGTGCGACTCACAAAGCACGCTGGCGTGACTGGATGACAGTTTGACCTGAACATGAACGCGGCGCTCACCAGGCCCCTTGTGGTACCACTACAGAGGTTTAGGTTTATAAATAGCTGTTTTTCTCCTGCAGGGTTTCATATGTTTAGTTGGGAACTCATTGGAGGGGACCTGGGGCAGCATAAGAAAAAAGATCCATCAAAACAATAGGGCTGCAATCATCAGAAATAGTTTCCTGTGGAAAGAGGAAGAAAGCAGCGTCTGACAGAGCTTTACAGCTGGAATCAAATCCAGCATTTTTCAGTGAATCTCATTGCTGCGAAGGATTTTCTCTTCTTTCATAAATGATTTTTAATGGGGCTCCTTTGAGGAGGACCCAGGAGACGTTCCCACAAGTGCAAGGGATGCAACCTGTCAGGCAGGACAGATGTAGTTCAGTAGGCCTATTACCTCACCTGAGAGAAATGAGCACATCCTCCCAGCATGCACTGCGGCATCGCCCCCCACACCACCGCTCCAGAACTCCCCAAAGCTTGAAGACACATCTACATGCCTTCCATCTCCTAGCCTGTTCTTCTACAGTGAGAACGATCACCCCTAGTTGTTCCAAGCATTCATTCCATGTCAACATCTGCAAATCGGGTTCAACTTACAAACCAAGATTAGTTGAACCAGGTGTGGAAATATACAGGATACTTTTGGGTACTCCAGCAGACTTTTGGGAACCAGAGCTCTAAATGAGGCTGATATGGACATGTTATAGATCAGACACGGTGTTTTTAATGGCCCCATTCCACACGGCTTCAGATTACGATTGTTTTGCCACCCTATGAATGCAGCAGGTATCCTATATTTAAACAACATCACTAAATATCTGCATGTGTACAAAACACTCACTAGATTGCCTATCTATCCTGAAAAGGAGTTTCCAGGAAATACAGGGATGTAACGCGCCGTTTTCAAACGCGACCACTAATTCTTGCCAATGTAGATTATCAGTTCATCAACCCAGTGCGAAGCTTCAAAGGACGGTGTTTTCTGAAGCGTGTTGAAGCGGTTTCATCTGACTGCAAATGCTGCGCTTTTGGGATATAATCCCTTTCATCTAGCAGGCAAAAGATTCCTTTTAATAGGTACAGTATGCAGGGAAGAGGGATTAAATGAATGTGTTTCAGGATGGTTAGGCTTCCTCTGATCTACATCGACAGCCTTGATTTCTGTTCAAAAGGATTCCAGTTGGCTTTCTAAGTGCCCTGTACTCTGCGGACACTTCAGGGATGCTGCCCAAATCGTCTGCAGGGTTCGGTCCCGAAGACGATGGCATGTCAGGGCGCTTATTGTCTCCTGTGAGGGGTAGAAATGCTCAGCCTGAGCGCTCGCCTCATTTTCGCCAACGAGGCCAGGGAGCTGAAAGCGGCAGAGCAGAACCGCCCAGCTTTGTGAGAAGCTCTGAAATGCAGAGGAAAGCCTGCGAGTAGCGGCTGCAGGCAGCTGACATTCAGGGAGTGGACCCTGCATCTTCCCCGCATTACCCATCTCCAAACTCCTAAACACAGCGCTCACAGGAAGTCTTGGGACACTCGCTAAATTCCATAACAATGTTGCGAATTTACTGGTTTCATAACAAAAGTCCATCGACAAGCAATGCTTAACATATCTGTACATATCTTCCGTGCAGACATTTTCTTTTTATTGTCAACATTATTTTGAACTGACTCGTTCAGTCCTGTTCTTGCCATTTTGCTGTTAATCGCAATTGTAATCATTGGCTCCCAAAGCGATACTAAACACAAATGTTTGGTGTTTCATGTTGTTCCTGTTCTTGATGTTAAGGTGTTACTGATTAGTACTCAAATGATGCTTGTCAATGAACCTTTTAACTCAACAGCTCTTTTAGAACTATAATTTGGGTTTTAATTTATTAGTACTTGAAGTGAATGTTTTACTTTAAACTTCCAGTTGTTTCTAATGTGATGCATAATTTTTTGTAAACAAATGAATGAAGTAATAATTCTTGTTAGAAAGCCAATGAATCTGCAACATTTTTACTGGATTAGCAAGTCACATGACTTTCTCTAAGCACTGTATCATCACCACGGGATGTGGAAAAATCATATTCACACATCACAATTCCAATTTCTGCTCCTATAATATTTCCAGGTATACAGAGAATAAATATGAGGTAAACAAAAATTAAAATTTATGACATAGCTTTGAGGGAAAATTAATACATTCAAATGTTATTTTTCTCCATTACAGTTTGCCCCCCCCCCAAACTAACATTGTAATTGATTCATCTCAACTGAGTGTTCTTAAATGGGATGTTATGGGGGTTGTCATAGCAATGGCAAGTAGCATTGAGGCATTGCTTGCGTCAAGCTATCCGCTCCAGGCAGACATCACATTCCATCAGATACCATAGTGAAGTGGTCTGGGGGGGTGTTGGTGGGAGGGGGCAGATTGAGATACAGAGGAGGTGGAGGTAGCAGGTCAGATGCAATATATAGCATGTGAAAACAGGCGGCAGCAAGCGGAGAAGGCCGCTAAGACCAGACACTTCAGCTGATATGACCCCCAAACTGCAGAATCATCCGCCCTCTTAAGAAAGCCCCCCCCCCCGCCCCCCTCAGCGCAATGAGCTGGGGAATTGCCTTGTGGATCTCGAGTAGCGTGTGAATCGCTGCTATCATCATGATAAAAAGCAGACTGATAACTGCAAGTCTAAGTGTCTTTCTGATGAAGGTTCTACACTTTGTATTCTGGTCATTGGGCCAGAGAGTGGAAGAACCAGGATACTGCCCCCTGGAGGCCAAGGCTCAGACCCTCATGTGGACAGCTGCAGCCAATTTGGCCTTGACTGTGTCAAAGCTGTAAGTGAGCAGCATCCATCAGGACCTGGCAGAATATTTAGCTGCCTGTCACCTGCCTCTGAGCATTGGGACTGATGTGGCATTATGACATCAAATTTAAAGGGGACCACTTCATATTTGTTATGTATTGAATATTTCGATTCCAGAAAACCACTGTGATTATAAGATATTCATATAATATTTTCAAATTGCGCAAAATTAAAAACGTAATTAAAAATGGCAACAGTCTAGACTGATGTTTCTATCCACTAGATTAACCTTTGTAATTAATTTGAATGCTCGCTCATCCTTTGTCTGACATTCAGCAGCTAGCAGGATAAGTGCCACTTATAGAAGTCAAATGGATGATTTGCGAAAGTTTAATTCCTCCAGAAGGGTGGGGGGGGGGGCAGGGGGGGATGCCCACAGTTTCTTCCAGGCTCTGCTTTGAGCTTTAAAGGACTTTGGTCCAGGACAGCAGAAGCTGGAGGGTCAATACCTGCAGATATTACAGTCACCTGCACCCAAATGGTCCAGACAATATCCATCAGAGAATGTCACCCAGGCGCAAAGGTAAAACCAGCACAGCAGTCCTGGGGCAGATGGCCTAGTTATACAAAGCAGAAAATAGGGAACGACGACTGGAGCTTTGTGAGACGGCCAGGCTGCTCTGCTCTGACGTGCTCTTCGACAGAAAGGGGGCTGAGGCTCAGGGCTCCTGCAGTAACTCAACCCGACCCTGGGTGGCCAGAAATGTGGGCAACAAGGTGTCGTTTACAGCCTTCCCTGCCCCTCCCCTGCCTGAGAGTCACTGGCTATCCCCCCGCCCCCGCCCCACCACCATCAAATTTCACCTCAAAACACACCCCACACCTTAAAGAAAGGGACATTTCCATCATTCCAACAAATTAAAATTCTCTTTTAGGCACTACCAATAACTTTCCACATCCTTTCCTTTCTGGGGATTCTAAAACATTAGGCATAACGACTTAAGTAAAATTCAGCACCTCTGGCATTGGATGCATAATCGATTCAATCATAGGAAATCATGATCAAATCCCTTAAAAGCAATAAGGTCATTTTTATTATCACAACGTCCTGCCTTGGCATCTCTTAACACCAGACCAGCATTATTCACATCATGGTCTGTCCCTGAAGAGCTTCCCCCGACAACATCAGCTCCGAAAGACGCTCCTTATATGACAGTCAGGAGACAGGAGACTTACTGCTCTCTGACGCTGAAGTTACCGTTCTCAGAAGATAACTGGCCAGTCACAGGATGCCGGAAAGTTGTGGTTCTCTGGTTATGGCTGAAGGCAGAAATAAAAAAAGGGGGGGGGGAAATGGGTGAGGGAGGGGTTGAGATAAAACAGAATCAGTATTAGAACTGAATACATCAGTTCCGGTGTCTGTGGTTTGCAGCATCTCCAGCAGATACCTAGAGAAAGACCTCACAAAGCCTGACTGATTGAAAAGTTAGTAATTATACAAAGGGTCATAAACAGAGACAGCTCATACTTTTGGGGAGTGAGGGGGCAATTAATTAGGTCTAATTCCAGTAGGTCATTATTTGTTTGAATTAGCATTTTAAAGCACTGTGCTGACCTTGGGGGGTGGGGGGGTGGCAAAGACAGGGAAATGGTCTCCATAGGAAATTTCTCAAGAAAGAAAAAAATGCTCAATATTCACAGATCAATGTTTTCTATACAAGTCTTCAAAACAGTCATTGTGGAGTAAAATGACCGAACCATCCCTGGAGAGTTAAAAAAAAACAGTAGATAAAGACAAGAACACCATTAAACAGAAGAGTACTCACATGTGATGGGGAAGCTGGACTTTAATCCTACTGAGCAGTTTTTCCCAATCCGGTCCGCAGGGATCAACAGCCGGTCCATGTTTTGGGTCCCTCCCAGCTCCCAGCAAAACTGTGGACTGTCTACCAGGGAGCTGGGAGGGAGCAAAAATGTGGACCTTCTGCGGGACCACAAGGACCGGGTTGGGAAACACTGCTTCAGTGTTAATTCTGAACAACAAAAATTCATCTCAGACTGGAGCAGAGCGATTAAGTCAAAATACCCAACTACATAATGCAGGCTGTTCTAGACCCCCCCGCCCCCCCCGCCATGCTTCAGGAGACACACTCTAGGCTGAGTTATTACTGCAGTCTCATACTCGCTGTCAGTTGCCGTTGAGTGTAATATTCCCAGGGTTGGTTCTGTCATGGCTTGAACTGGACCATTGTGACCTGTAAGTAAGTGTCTCCTTCTAATCGGCTCTATAGGTGTTCTGACACCATCTAAAGACAAGAAAGGGAGATTTTTTGCTGCCTGACACTGACATCAGCCCCAGTTCTGGCCATTCCAGTTCTTGAGAGAAGCTTCTAGAAGATAGGCTGAACCTGCTGCTTAATGGCACCAATATCTAAAAGAAGAGGTGACTGAGAACACCAAGGACACCAGGAAGTCTTTATTGGCCAAAATAAACTTCAGAGTTATAAATGTCATCAGAACTTGAAGGACCAGACTCCCGTCTTATCAGCTTCCTATTTTAAACGCTGGCTGAAGGCCAAGACCGGTGAGTGCCTGTAGGCAAGGAGGGGGCCAGATGGGATAGAGTCAAACCCAGATGGGGTAGAAAATACCACACTATCACAGTCACGATGGAGTCGCCTGCAGCTGAGTGAGGTCAGAACTCCTGGCAGTATTTTTCTTTGGACATGCAGTTTAAAGTTCTGCTGATCGCCCAGTCAGAAAGAGTGAAGTGAAATGCCAATAACGCCCAGCATCACCAATGTCAGCACATCTTCACTGATGCCTTCCACGCATCCAAAATGACAGTGACCTTCACTGGAGACCTAATCCTTTATCCCTTTAATAAAGACATCCCTGTGATCGCATGCAGACTCTCAGTGCAAATGGGTTATACCCCACATGAAACCGTTTTCCGGTGTGGCGACGATGTCATGCATGTCGAAAGTCAGAGACGAGAATAAGTCAGAACGTGGGACACGGCTTGATGGCAAAGGACAGGCTTTAGCACTTCAAAGTCAGCTCAGGTCTAACAGTGGGACTTGTTTCCAACATACAAAATGACACTTTGCACAGAAGATCAGCCGAGGCTGAAAGGGAAATTAATCGATCATTTGTGCCGCTGGTTCCGCACGATGTCGACAGGCTCTGACACGCTAACAGGGGCCCAATGCGAGGCTCTAAGTGCCTTCAGCCCACCAACGAGAGACCAGCAAATGTGGCGCCTCAGTCGTTGGCTTTTCAGCTCAGCACCCACGCTGACGCCGAGGACCCCCCCCCCCCCAAGACTCGGCGTCCCACCAGGCAGCTTCTGGGGGGGCCCAGGTGTCTCTAAAAAAGGGGACACATCTGCAGAGGCTGCGCAGAGACACGGCAGGGCGACCTTGATGTTCTGACCCATTTGGCCGCACTAAGGCACATGGGGGGTGGGGGTGGGGGGGGCAGCTCCTCAGCCAAGATCGCATTCTGCTGATGCAGCAATCATGCTGCAGTTTTTAGCATTAAAAAAAAAAATGCGACGGCAACAATCAGCAGCACTGAGACTGAAACACAAACACCGTTTCATCCAGACTGAGTTCATCGTGAGTCAATTCCAGAAAGGATGATGCCCCACAGATAGAGACATACCAAACCAGCCAAAATTCACTTAACCTACTCAAACAAATAACCGAGCTATAATCCTTAGTGGGAAACAAAAGATTTGAATTAACAGACTGTTAACTTGACTAATACAGACGCAAACGCATAACTAGGTCAGCGTGACACCAGACACCTAATTAGATGAGATCAAATAAAAGATTGCATTCTGGATTTTGTTCGCTCAAGTCAGCTGACTGACAGATCTGCCTAAGGGGAAGCCGTAAATGGCTCTATACAGGCACAGTTACTGCAATCAAGGCACCCAGCAGAGAGCTCTTACACCAGAGCGACTGGGTGCGTCAGCGGCGTCGATAAGCTGTTAGGAGAGACGTTAACGCCGCCCTACAGAAGAAAGCTATGAGAGCCTTTCCTGCAGAGTTGTTATGCAGGATGCTGGGTTACATCTCTAGGTGTGTGGAGTTTAAGTCAAAGGAGGTGATGCTGCGATTATACGATTCCTTGGTAAGACCCCACCTAGAATATTGTGTGCAGGTTTGGTCACCATACCTTAATATGCCTTAATCTGCCTTAGAAAGGGTCCAGCATAGGGCTACAAGAATGATTCCTGGTCTTAGAGGAATGTCTTATGGGGAGAGGTTAGCTGAGCTGAATCTGTTTAGCCTTGAGCAAAGACTAAGGGGGGACATGATCCAGGTCTATAAGATTCCAACAGGCATGGATGTTGTTCAACCAAATAGTTACTTCGATATTGCCTATGGCCATAGGTGGAAAGTAGCAGGAGAACATTTTAAACTGGATTTGAGAAAGCACTTCCTTACACGGCATGTAGTTAGAATATGGGATAGTCTCCCTGTTAGTGTAGTGCTAGCTTGGGTTCCTTTAAATCAGAGCTAGATAAGACTAACAGCTCTGAGCTGTTAGTTGGCTTCTCCCCAAATGAGCTGGATGGGCCAAATGGCCTCCTCTCCTTTGTAAATTTCTTATGTCCTTATGTAGTGGGGTGCAAGAGGATCTGAGCCACACATGGGTGGGGGGTGGGGGGGGGCTGCTCTAGAGCAATCAAAAACACACTAAACCAATTAGCAGCCGTGCTTCCCATGCCTACCAACCGTCCATGACGCTCTGGGTAATTTGAGGGGGATTCCTGTGAAAGTGTTTCGGAAAAAGGCCTCTGTTGACGGTCTAAAACAAAGGCTGCCAAGGAAGTTAATAAGCTGTTAAATATTAGGATATTCAGTTCAGCGGAGTGCACAGCGCACCCCCCTAGAACAAGGCAGCTGCAACAAAAAGTCCACTCCATCCTGTACTGGAGTCTCTTAATCGCCCCCCCCCCCCCAAAAAAAAATCCTCATTATGTTCTGTGGGGGTACTTCATTCCATAAGAATAAGCATCTCAGGCTGCTGGCCCCCACGGCCGAACAGTGCTGATGGCTTTAAAAATCTCCAGGCCTCTGTCCCCTGCATCCACAGACCCGACAGAGCGCCCCTCCCCCAGACTCTCTTCCCCCCTCCCACTTGGAAAAAGGTACCACAGCCTGACCCAGCCACCTCCCTCCCTAACATAAAAGTCAGAAGCCCCCCCTCCATTTGCACAATCCACTTTACTGAACCTCACGTTTACATACGTTGACATATATATGCTGCTAGATATTTATTTTTATATTGCTGTCATTACTAATGACAGTCCACCCTAGATTTTATTTGTGCATCTAATTTAGTTGCATTTATACTGCATGCATTTACTGCACTGTACACACTGCAATAAGATGCCTGTTTTGTGTGCATGCTCCACCACGGTCCTGGACAGGAAAATATCCATCATCAGCAAATTCTGACACAGACGATCAGTTTCATGATTGCTGCTTGGCCACAGCCGAGCGAATAGCATCGACCCTTTGCAAGTCACCTGAGCCGATCAGCCACGTCAGCAATATCGCGGTTCCCTCCCCCATAATTTTGCCCACAGTACTGCACAAGGATCCGGCATGGGTGACCGCCGCTCTCCCCTGTGGCGTCCCGGGATGACAGATTTCAACAAAGTATTTCTCGGCTCTCGTCCACCATCATAATGAAGATGTTCGAGCCCAGATAATGGGCTGGAACAAAACAGGACGCAGAGGGGAGCCAGACAAACCACGCCGGACGTACGAGGGCACCAGTGGCTGTGCTACCATGACTGCAGGAATATCATCAATAATCACCAGGACTACCAGCAATAATTCATGGGCAGAAAACAACAGGGAAGACCTAGTTGCTGTTTAATCCTTAGAGGAAACCGAGGAAGAATGATCAAGCTACTGTAGTCAGTACCAGCATATATCTGTATGGGTGAAACCTAAATCGTCCACAAACATTGACTGAGCTGCTAGGATTTACCGTCACACTCCTGGGGAGTTCTGAAATCCCTCTGGGTCTTACCCATTCTGTACAGAAGGTAGCTAGACCCGGTTTTCAACTAACCCCAAAGTGTGGTCTGGCAGCTACCTAACCCACAAACAAACCGCTTCACTCCTGGTTGTACCTGGGGTGCTGCAGAAGAGGCACGGACAGAGGTAACCGGGGCCCAGCCTCTATACCCCCCTCCAATAAGCAGCGATGGTGGAGACATGGTGGTGCGGGGGCCGAACCCTGAGCATCTGGTGCGTGGGTGGATGTGCTGTCGAAGCTTACAGGCTTCTAAG